AAGTCATACCTAAGCGACAACTGGAAGATTGCAGCGTCTTCTAGAACTTATCTGCACTTGTCTCACAAGAATCAGTTCGTTCTGACCGAAGATCAGTATTATGATACATCTATAATCATAAGTAAGATACTTCTGGGAGACTTTGGCGATTGATATTAAAATTACTTGTAAACGAATTTTAGCATATAATTCATATGCCACACCCACTATATTTGATACTTCTATATCCTAAACAGAATTTTGGTATATAATTTATATGAGAGATTCTGTCAAAATAAATGCACATTTAATCAGGGTTATCAATAGTAAATATGGACAATAATTCATATGAGGTGAATATATCTGAAAAATGAACACTTCTCTTATAAGGTAAAAGAAATCCTTTAAGAAAATTTTAACCGAAAAGAATTTCGATTAGAGGAAGACTAAAAGAAAAACTAATTTTCATTGAATTTAGGCACTTTTTGTAAAAAGTACTAAAAATAGTACTATTTTTCATAGAACAGAATTCCCTTTTTTACTTTTTAATTTTTTTTTTTAATAAAATGCTCATTGTTTATTAAATTTAAAGAATTTTTCTTATTAAAACTCCTTTTTATTTAGGTTTTGTAAGATTTTTGATAAATAGTACTAAAATACTACTAATTTTTCAATGAATTAAAATCAGTTATTTTCATTATATTTATTGATTTTCTTAAACCATAATAAAATTTCATTGACTTTAGGCACATTTTGTAAAAAGTAGTAAAAATACTACTATTTTTCAAATTCGCTTTTTTTACCTTTTACAGATTTGTTTTAATAAAGAGATCTTTTTGGGTTATAGATCTTTATGAAAACATGATCATGGCTAGATAGAGTGATCAATATTACCTCTTAAGGATTCTCGTTTTATCTTATTTCTTTTAACACATTTTCTACTTGGTACTTTCCATGCATATTTACTATATATATTTACTTACATACACATGTATATATTATTTTATGTTACCAATTTTTTGTTGTATTTATGTGTGTGTGTGCCTTTATACATACAAATATCAACAAATCCATACAAACTAAAATTCTGAAAAAATATGGAATCATGTTTATGGTAACAAGTACAAGTATGTTTTACTTTTCTACTATAACGAATAATATTTTTTGTACTAATACCTTTTTAACCCGTTCTACTGGCTTAACTAATACAACTACTACTAGTTTTTCTACTGCTAGACTAGAACATTTTTAGTAAATATAGGAAACCTTAACTACAACTACTGTAGTAGATTTTAATCTTTCACAGAACGGCAGTACGGAGTGAATGTTAGGAACATGGTTACATTCTTTTTTACTTCGGTATACTAGGACCACCACTAGACTACCTTGGACATACTATAATGTAACTAATTGACTCCTCTTTAATGGTTTATAGTCCCGTTTAGACTACCAGGGATATATAGTAATCAACTGTTTTAAAAGCATACAAATTGAAAAAGGATCCAACGATTTCTAAAAAATTGCAGGCAGTGTTTGAAGTAGTTTGGTTAAAGGAAAAAATTTGTGTTTGTGATAGTAAGTATAGCTATATATTACAGTGGGTTGAGTGTATTTGTATATATTTATGTATAATAAACATATAAAGTTTTACAAGTATATACTTAATATTCTTTTGCGTATAAAAGCATATAGTGTTATTTAGTTAGAATAAAAAATGACTAGTTGTTGTAAGACATACATTTGCAAATATGTAGGAAGGTAGTTTGAAAAGATTTTTTGAATGCAAAGTAAATATGCAAAGTTATTAGGAGTTCAAATGGCATTTACCGATTCACAAAGTATACAGAGGTTCAATTTGCTAAAATTGCTATTATCAGTTTTTGTTTGATTTTGAAATAGTTTGGTGAGAAGATGTACATATCGTCACCTAAAACGCAAACAGCTCTATCTAACATTTTTAAAATTTTACACGAGAAGCAAAAAACTATTTAAATTGAAAAGTTTGTTTCTATCAACGCGATTTATTTGTAGTAAATGAACAAATGGTTTAATAATGAAACTTATCAGTTATGATAGTTGACAATGGCGTATATAGAAATGGATAAATTGGACTTTTTACCTTTAATGTTTAAATGTTTTTGTAGATAGGGCCTTTTGTTTTTTTGTCAATAAAATCGAAAATTTTAGTCAGAGAAGTAAAATATTTGCGAGGACATTTATTTTGATGCAATGCATTAGGAATAAACAATAAAATCGATTTTGAATTTTTGTTTAGTTAGGGCCGTTTGCGTTTCAGGTGACGATTTATAAAATACAACAAAATGTATTGAAATCGTTTCGTCTAAAAGAGCGAGAGAAATAGATTATAGCTCGTGATGCCTTTTTTAAAGCTCAAGAACAAGTCAAGGGACTAACTTTAGTTAGTTAGTTAGTTTGTTAGTTAGTTAGTTAGTTAGTTAGTAAGTTAGTTAGTTAGTTAGTTAGTTAGTTAGTAGTTAGTTAGTTAGTTAGTTAGTTAGTTAGTTAGTTAGTTAGTTAGTTAGTTAGTAATGTAGTTAGTTAGTTAGTTAGTAGTTAGTTAGTTAGTTAGTTAGTTAGTTAGTTAGTTAGTAGTAGTTAGTTAGTTAGTTAGTTAGTTAGTTAGTTAGTTAGTTAGTAGTTAGTTAGTAGTTAGTAGTTAGTTAGTTAGTTAGTTCGTTAGTTAGTTAGTTAGTTTTAGTTAGTTTTAGTTAGTTAGTAGTTAGTAGTTGTCGTTAGTTAGTTAGTTAGTTAGTAGTTAGTTAGTAGTGTTAGTTAGTTAGTTAGAGTTAGTTCGTAGTTAGTTAGTTAGTTAGTTTAGTTCGTTAGTTAGTTAGTTAGTTAGTTAGTTAGTTAGTAGTTAGTTAGTTAGTTAGTTAGTTAGTAGTTAGTTAGTTAGTTAGTTAGTTAGTTAGTTAGTTAGTAGTTAGTTAGTTAGTTATACTTAGTTAGTTACTTAGTTAGTTACTTAGTTAGTTAGTTACTTAGTTAGTTAGTTAGTTAGTTAGTTAGTTAGTTTGTTAGTAGTTAGTTAGTTAGTTAGTTAGTAGTTAGTTAGTTTGTTAGTTAGTTAGTTAGTAGTTAGTTAGTTAGTTAGTAGTTAGTTAGTAGTAGTTAGTTAGTTAGTTAGTAGTTGTTAGTTAGTAGTTAGTTAGTTAGTTAGTTAGTAGTTAGTTAGTTAGTTAGTTAGTTAGTTAGTAGTTAGTTAGTGTTAGTTAGTTAGTTAGTTAGTAGTAGTTAGTAGTTAGTTAGTTAGTAGTAGTTAGTTAGTTAGTTAGTTAGTTAGTAGTTAGTTAGTAGTTTAGTAGTAGTTAGTTAGTTAGTTAGTAGTTAGTTAGTTAGTAGTTAGTTAGTTAGTTAGTAGTTAGTTAGTTTTAGTTAGTTAGTTAGTTAGTTAGTTAGTTAGTTAGTTAGTTAGTTAGTAGTTAGTTAGTTAGTTAGTTAGTTAGTTAGTTAGTTAGTTAGTTAGTTAGTTAGTTAGTTAGTTAGTTAGTTAGTTAGTTAGTTAGTTAGTTAGTTAGTTAGTTAGTTAGTTAGTTAGTTAGTTAGTTAGTTAGTTAGTTAGTTAGTTAGTAGTTAGTTAGTTAGTTAGTTAGTTAGTTAGTTAGTTAGTTAGTTAGTTAGTTAGTAGTTAGTTAGTTAGTTAGTTAGTTAGTTAGTTAGTTAGTTAGTTAGTTAGTTAGTTAGTTAGTTAGTTAGTAGTTAGTTAGTTAGTTAGTTAGTTAGTTAGTTAGTTAGTTAGTTAGTAGTTAGTTAGTTAGTTAGTTAGTTAGTTAGTTAGTTAGTTAGTTAGTTAGTTAGTTAGTTAGTTAGTTAGTTAGTAGTTAGTTAGTTAGTTAGTTAGTTAGTAGTTAGTAGTTAGTTAGTTAGTTAGTAGTTAGTTAGTTAGTAGTTAGTTAGTTAGTTAGTTAGTTAGTTAGTTAGTTAGTTAGTTAGTTAGTTAGTTAGTTAGTTAGTTAGTTAGTTAGTTAGTAGTTAGTTAGTTAGTTAGTTAGTTAGTTAGTTAGTTAGTTAGTTAGTTAGTTAGTAGTTAGTTAGTTAGTTAGTTAGTTAGTAGTTAGTTAGTTAGTTAGTTAGTTAGTTAGTTAGTTAGTTAGTTAGTTAGTTAGTTAGTTAGTTAGTTAGTTAGTTAGTTAGTTAGTTAGTTAGTTAGTTAGTTAGTTAGTTAGTTAGTTAGTTAGTTAGTTAGTTAGTTAGTTAGTTAGTTAGTTAGTTAGTTAGTTAGTTAGTTAGTTAGTAGTTAGTTAGTTAGTTAGTTAGTCTTAGTTAGTTAGTTAGTTAGTTAGTTAGTTAGTTAGTTAGTTAGTAGTTAGTTAGTTAGTTAGTTAGTTAGTTAGTTAGTTAGTAGTTAGTTAGTTAGTAGTTAGTTAGTTAGTTAGTTAGTTAGTTAGTTAGTTAGTTAGTAGTTAGTTAGTTAGTTAGTTAGTTAGTTAGTTAGTTAGTTAGTTAGTTAGTTAGTTAGTTAGTTAGTTAGTTAGTTAGTTAGTTAGTAGTTAGAAGGATATAAAGTACTTTTCTGTTGGTTCTCGTATTTCAATGTGTTTGTCGTATAGGCTTCTCATTTACTAATACAAACATTTGCACGTGCCAACATACATGCATATGTATGTAATTGTGTACATTTGCCGTATAACTTTTAAAATTTATGGCATAAAATTTTCAAGTGTGTTTTTGCTTTTATTTATAAATAAATTTTTCTCCATTTTTCCACTTTTAGTAAGTTTTTTAGTGCTTGCCGTTTGTATAAACGTGTTGGTTATTTTTTAACACGTTTAACACAAAATAATTATATAATTGGTTTCGAAATTGAATTTGTGTATAAATTTTATATAATTAAGAGAAACACAACAAGAACAAACACAAACGAATATAATTATTAATTAAATTAATTAAATGTTATAAACACGTATAAAACTTTTTGTTGAATACTAAATTTTAATTGCTTTATCACAAATTTAATTCAAATTAAATTAAATTTTCTTATACACCTTAATATTTTGCAGATCTTCCCGATCCAGTTAAGAACTGTACAGCCTACAATGCAACCGCAAATTCTATGCAGATTCAATGTATACCTGGCTATGATGGTGGTATACCACAACATTTTCATGTACAAGTTTATGATGAATTGAATCGTCAAATCTTATATAATACTTCGTTTCGTAATCCTGAATTTACCGTTAAACGTTTGCCAAGTGATTCGGTATTTGTTATACGCATAACTGCGGTCAATGCTCAAGGTGCTAGTAAAATCTCTTATCGTGTACGTGGTCGTACGCTATCGGCACCACTGTTGAGAACAGGTGAGTGAGTGAGAGTGTTTGTATCTATAAGATACTTAAGTAAATGTTTTTAGCTTGTGTTGTGGACTTAAAATTGAAAATCCTATGGGTTTTAGGTGTAAGAAAGTATAATGGGGATTAAGTTGCAATGCATGGAAAGTTATAAATTTTTGGGTGGTTGTTTGGTCGTTTAAAAATAGGATACTTTTTAAAGTATTGGTGAGTGTTAGGCTATGAACTGTTCCACTCTTTGTGGCAACATATAGACTCACAAATATACTGCTTTTGAAAATTAATCTACTTCCAGTAGGAGCGATCTGCAACAAATGAAATAAATCGTGGTCGGACCGGGCAATATTTGGACTATGATGTGGCTGAGGTCAATCTTTCTTGATTGCAGATCCTCTTTAATCATCCGATCCAAATTCAGATATACCGCAGTAATGGGAGTCTTTCTCGTGATCGGTATAGATACTTTATAATAGTCCGGTTGCGATTTAAGAAGCAGCACAGTATATTGAAGTCTTAAATTTCTTAGAAATGCAGACCATTACCTTGGCTCGGTTTCAGCAGCTCCTTATAAATTCCATTTAATTTAGTTAAGACACAAACCATAAGTAAAAGGATCGATTTCTTTAAATGCTTTTATTTTCATTTGAAATTTTTGAACAGAAGTCTTCAATATTTTTTCAACTATTTTAATTCAATATGAAATACAAAACCAAAATTTTCAATTAAAAAACTTAAACCGCAAAATCTAAAAAATATTTATTTTTATTCTATATAAACCTTAATTAATTTTTAACATTTTGACTAACAATTCTCTAACGTTTGGTATTTTTTTCAATTTCACTTTTATTTCATATGGTTAACGCTTTATTGGACTTATATTTAACATCATTATGCTGTTGCTGGTATTTTTTTTTCGGAAAACCCACAAACTCTCATCATTTTTCAATACACACAACCAAAAAATGTGCAAAATCGAAAAATTAAAAAAAAACTCACACAAACACACTTTCTATTCTGTATGCGAAAACGAAAAAAAAAAAAAAAACAATTGAACTTCATTCATTCAAACAAATAGCATCCTCTACGGCGGTTTTAGTTCAGCTAACACCATTGCTAGGAGCATTGGTTGGTGTCATAGCAACACTTGTACTGGTGGCCATTTGTATTGTGATTTTCATGAAATTTCGTACAAAACACACACGTCGCGGCCCAAATGGTGATACCACAACAACTGAAGCAGACAAAGGTAGTGCTGAACCACTCTCACGCAACATGGGCAGTCATTCAAGTTTAGAGGATAAAAATCCTGATGTTATACCACAGGAAACGAACAGTGAAGATGAATTTCATTTAGAGGAGAAAGCATTCGATCGTTTGAATATGGAATCACAGCGTATTTTGTATACACCCACATCTAGAATAAATACACAATCACCACCACCGCCCTCACTATCGCCAACGTTTGGCAAACAGGTATGTACTGGCACACATTTACTTATCTTTATAGCTGCATATGTACGTATGAGTATTAGTATTAGTGAATGTTAACTAAATTTCAAAATTACTTTGTGCTGTCTAGTAGGGGCGTAAACTGGGCTGTTAAAGCTAGACAGTAATATTTGTAAAAAAAATCACTAGTAACTCTTAGTTTACAAAGAAAAATTGGAGTAGTTTGCTTTTAACAAATAAAAAAATCATTTATTTGCTTTGGATGCCAGTGTTTACCCTTAGTCTGGCCAGCCAGCACCATCAGCAACCAAGTGGCCGGCAAATTAAACAAGAAAATAATAACAAATGGCAGCAGGTGTAAAGTTAGTTTTTATATATTTACCCCCCCCCCCCCCTAAAACTCCCATCAACTGCTCTAGTCTCGCTATTATTTGCATTTACTGAACTATGAGTAAGTGCTAACGAAATTTGCATATACTTCATGGCGTACTATCAAAGGAGCTTTTGATTTGTTTAGCAAAACTAAACTACAACAGCCTCTATGGCATTTTTTTAATCAAGTTGTGTAAATATTTCGTAAAAGTATTATTATTCATTTTTTGCCTAAGTGTATGCTTTAATTTATTTAGCGTTTTCAAAGGCTTGCAAAAGTAGCTAAATAAATTTCAAGTATTCATTTAGGAGGGAGTAGATACTGAGTATTTTGAGTTCATGAAAAAGAGGTGTTTGTTTGTTTGTTTATTTTTAATGAAAATCTTTAGTTAATTTAAGATTTTAAGGGCTTAATTGTAAACGCCTTGAAGTAGGCAACGTTTTTCAAATATATTTTCAATTATTGTGAATCAGAAGAGAATCCTGATATAAGGAAACTGCTTTAAATGAGTTTGAAATTAAATTGTTAATGTATTGTTACAGACAATCATGCGGACCAATAGATTAGTTCATGTCCTGGTCGATAGACTAGTATTTACACTAGTCAGTATAGTGGTCAACAGACTGGCCAATGGACTAGTTCATAGAGTAGTTCATACACTAGTCGATAGTCTAGTTAATATACGCTATAATCGTATATATTATCGACCAATCTATAAGTTTGTCAATAGATTGGTCGATAAACTACTTCATAGACTATTCAATGGCATAGTCCATAGACCATTCAATAGAATAGTCCATAGACTATTCAATAAAATAGTTCATAGACTATTCAATACATTAGACCATAGACAAGTCAATAGACTAGTCCATAGACTGGTTAATAGACTAGTCCATAGACAAGTCAATACGCTGGTCTATAGACTAGTCTATTAACTAGTGCATAGACTAGTGAATAGAGTAGTGAATAGAGTAGTGAATAGACTAGTGAATAGACTAGTGAATAGACTAGTGAATAGACCAATTAATAGACTAGTGAATAGACTAGTCCATACAGTACGAGCCAATAGTCTAGTCAATAGACTGATCAATAAACTTGTTAATGAACTTATCCATTGACAAGTCAATACACGAGTCAGTAGACTAAGCAACATAGTAGTCAATTGGCTGGTCGACATACAAGTCTATAGACTGGTCAGCGGACTTATTCATAAACAATTCAGAAGACCACTACATATACTGCCCAATAGTCTAGTTCATAGTCTATTCTATAGACTAGTCAATAGACTAGCGCACAGACTAGACAATAGATTAGTAAACAGGCTAGATACCAGCTTAGTAAACATACTAGTACATAGACCAATAGTCAATATCATAGACAAGTCTAAGGTCTACTCCATAGACCAAAGTATAGATTATACAATAAACTAGTCTATAGTTAGTAGATTGGTCAATAGATTTGACAATAAAGTAGTCCATAGACTAGTCCATTTTTTTACTTAAAAGCATTCATTAATATACCTTCACGTATTACAAATATCACTCGTAAAAATTATCACACTTTATTACAAGCATTAATAAAAATTTTACTTCAAATAATTACAAAAAAAGTCCTCCTACTGACCCTATAACTTACTTCTCATTCTCATTAAATCAAAAGTAGCAAAAAGTAAAAGAAAATAAATAAATAAACTAGATATTAATTATAAATATTTACTACAAATACAAAACGCCCATAAACTAACAACAATTTTCAACTTAAATTTTCACTCCCTAAGGTATGCTTTAATTTTATTTTAAATCCTTAGTATCACTAGTACTAAAAACAAAGTTTTTTTTATCGCAAAGAAACAAGTAAAGACTGAGGCAGTTAGTATTAACTTGCACGAGTAAATAATAAGAGAAAGAGCAAAAACAATAATAACAATGCATAGAAATCTTAAGTATCCGTTCGTCATCGTCGTCCCTGCCACTTAACAACAACAATTACTGTTATTTACACTTAATGCTAACAACATACTTATCATGAAAGAAAAATAGAAGACAAACAAACAACAACAACAAAAAACAAATTATAACTACAAGTACTGTGTGGCAGGGAAACAAACAGTGGCAAGATCATTATATACACATACAAATACAACAAAACAGCCTCATTATATATAACGTCATTACAACCTCGTCGTCGTCGTCATCATCATCATCAACGCCATCATCGTCATTGTCATTACATATTTCAACACAAACAATAATAAAGAATAATAACAAAGTAAAAGTAAAGCAAAATATTTCACAAATACTAACACCATCATAAAAACTAATAAAGAACAAACAGCCACACTATTACATTTAAACTGCCCAGCAGTTAAAGGGGGTATCTATACCCGTACTAGTCATTTTGTCAAACATTTAGGTTTACCTTGGTACTTAGCAGATTTGGATATATAATTGTTTATTTTACCATTTGATTGTATTAGAAGTAAAGCACTTAGTATTTATCAGCCTATAAGTATACTACACTTTTAGTTTAAGTTCATTTTCAAACTGTTTTACTTGAGATACTATACTGAAAAAGGCTTAAATAATAGTTTCTATAGATTATATGCGGACGTTTGATTTGCTGCTTGTTTATATGGTGTTACTGAAAGAACTATTGACTACCTGCCAGATTACTTAGGGACACTAAAGTCTAAAATAATCCAAATATAACTTTAATCATCTTATAGTAGTCTAGTCTAGTCTATAGTCTAGTCTATAGTCTAGTCTATAGTCTAGTCTATAGTCTAGTCTATAGTCTAGTCTATAGTCTAGTCTATAGTCTAGTCTATAGTCTAGTCTATAGTCTAGTCTATAGTCTAGTCTATAGTCTAGTCTATAGTCTAGTCTATAGTCTAGTCTATAGTCTAGTCTATAGTCTAGTCTATAGTCTAGTCTATAGTCTAGTCTATAGTCTAGTCTATAGTCTAGTCTATAGTCTAGTCTATAGTCTAGTCTATAGTCTAGTCTATAGTCTAGTCTATAGTCTAGTCTATAGTCTAGTCTATAGTCTAGTCTATAGTCTAGTCTATAGTCTAGTCTATAGTCTAGTCTATAGACTAGTCTATAGTCTAGTCTATAGTCTAGTCTATAGTCTAGTCTATAGTCTAGTCTATAGTCTAGTCTATAGTCTAGTCTATAGTCTAGTCTATAGTCTAGTCTATAGTCTAGTCTATAGTCTAGTCTATAGTCTAGTCTATAGTCTAGTCTATAGTCTAGTCTATAGTCTAGTCTATAGTCTAGTCTATAGTCTAGTCTATAGTCTAGTCTATAGTCTAGTCTAGTCTAGTCTATAGTCTAGTCTATAGTCTAGTTATAGTCTAGTCTATAGTCTAGTCTATAGTCTAGTCTATAGTCTAGTCTATAGTCTAGTCTATAGTCTAGTCTATAGTCTAGTCTATAGTCTAGTCTATAGTCTAGTCTATAGTCTAGTCTATAGTCTAGTCTATAGTCTAGTCTATAGTCTAGTCTATAGTCTAGTCTATAGTCTAGTCTATAGTCTAGTCTATAGTCTAGTCTATAGTCTAGTCTATAGTCTAGTCTATAGTCTAGTCTATAGTCGAGTCTATAGTCTAGTCTATAGTCTAGTCTATAGTCTAGTCTATAGTCTAGTCTATAGTCTAGTCTATAGTCTAGTCTATAGTCTAGTCTATAGTCTAGTCTATAGTCTAGTCTATAGTCGAGTCTATAGTCTAGTCTATAGTCTAGTCTATAGTCTAGTCTATAGTCCAGTCTATAGTCTAGTCTATAGTCTAGTCTATAGTCTAGTCTATAGTCTAGTCTATAGTCTAGTCTATAGTCTAGTCTATAGTCTAGTTTTTAGTCTAGTTTTTAGTCTAGTCTATAGTCTAGTCTATAGTCTAGTCTATAGTCTAGTCTATAGTCTAGTCTATAGTCTAGTCTATAGTCTAGTCTAGTCTAGTCTATAGTCTAGTCTATAGTCTAGTCTATAGTGTAGCCTATAGTGTATATTTCTAATGTATAGTCTAGTGTATAGTCTAGTGTATAGTCTAGTGTATAGTGTAGTCTATAGTCTAGTCTAGTCTATAGTCTAGTCTATAGTGTAGCCTATAGTCTAGTGTATAGTCTAGTCTATAGTCTAGCCTATAGTCTAGTCAATACTCAAGTCTACAGTGTAGTCTATATAATGGGGATTTATTGTCTTACTTCAAAACTTCTAGGTACCGTTCAAATTAATGATGAAACGCAAACCACATACAGACACGCATAGAAAAATACATACACACTTAAAGGAACAACATCATCAACAACACGAAAAACTAAACCATTAACTAACAAACCAATATACAAACAGATTCAAAAACCCTACAAATGGACAGACTAAACAGCACCACCATCAAACAAACATAATTCCATTGTTGTCTTATCACTTTGATAGCCTGTCAATAATTTGCAGCAATTTAATATTTTTTCCATGTTTCCATTTTTTTTCTATCCACAAAGAAACCTAAACCCTATAATAAACTAAATACTTGTATGTTTGTATTATGTATGTATGTATATGGTAAAGTGTCCACAAAGAACATGTTGAAGAAGTTGTCCATCTAAATGAAATGACAAACTAAATGATGGAGTGTAAGTAATAGAAACGTATA